AATATATATTCATAAAATAACGAAATTCTTATACATACTGTTGCCTTCGGACTGCACCTAACGAATTTAGTCGCCTCTGTAATTTGTGTGGAAACAGTGAATTTGCGATTGGAAAACAATAAAATTCGAAACTTGAATTACGCGTTGTATTTGAACAATGAATTACAGAACACGAAAAAAGTGCTTTCTGACATGGTGGCATAGTTTGCAGGATAAAACTTAATAAATTGTATTAAATAATTATTTTTTTTGAGCGTGTATAATTTCTTGGATTGGAATTTATTTACTGTAAAGTTTCTAAAACCGACACTTCAGGCGCTGGCGTCAACGTGCAAATAGCGAATACTAGTCGTGTAGACTCTCAAGTAGACGCACATGGCCAACAATTTGCGGCGTTGCCACATACTTGATCATGTCTTGTAAGGTAGAAGTGCCTGTGACACGAGGTTCCAACAAATAAGTTATTATGGCAGTGCATAAGAAAGGTCAAGTAACACTTTTAGAAAAACTGGCATAGAGATTATCTCAATCAATTAAAACCAAGAAGCAAATAGAATAAATTTTATTGCGATAAAGTCAAAGTTGGCACCCTGGTTATCATAAAAGAAGAGTTGAATAATTGCCCTTCATCCATGAAAAGATCAACAATAAAAAAAATAAGCAGCGTTACATATAAACAGTGTTTTAAAAAGTTATGTCCGTAACTCATCGAGTGAAGTGATGTTGAGTGAAAAAAGTTATAATTCAGAAAAAGGCTTATTTAGATGTTGTTTCATTCAATTTTATATCTCTAATTTAAACAGTGTTAATTGTTTCCTTTTGAATAATCACAATACAACTTGCTGTAATATGTAAGTCATAGTAAAGCACATTTAATGTTTTTGATTTAGCCGTAGCCGTTCAAGGTGGCCAGAATATTCTGACCATAATTATATATACAGCTGAACCTGGATAAGTGAGAACTGGGTAAACGAGAACTCTATTAATGAGAGTTTTTGCCAGGTCCCGTCATTTTGCCTCTATATGTGAGAAACAAAACCTGTATAAGTGACAGTCATTTTTCATGCGTGAACCTCTTTAATTGAGATTGCTACCTGCCTACACCTCTATAAGCGACAGTTTACTTTTGCTATTTTATGACACCTATTATAAAATTGTGAAATAAAAAGAATTAATTATGTCTCAGTGCTCTGAGGGACACGGAAATATCAAGAGAAGCCGGATTTCTGAGTTTCTCGACGTTGAGAAGCGCCTGTTAGTATGGATTAAACAAACCCTCGATAAGAACATTCCCATAGATGGACCACTGCTGAAACAAAAATCTAAAGACTTCGCTACAAAATTAAGAATCCAAAATTTTTCAGCTAGTAACGGCTGGCTCGAGGGTTTTAAAAAACGCAATGATATAAATTTCAAAAAATCAGCCGGAGAAAGTAAATCTGTGGATCAGGGAGTATGCAACCAATGGATTGAAGATTTGCCGAGTCTTTTAGAAGGATACGATTCAAACGATATTTATAACGCCCATGAAACTGCTTTGTTCTTCAAATGTATGCCAGATAAAACATTCATTTTCAAGGGCGAAAAATGTCACGGAGGAAAACAAAGCAAGGAACGCCTTACTATTCTTCAATGTGTTAACATGACCGGTACAGACAAACTCCCACTTCTAATCATTGGGAAATCTAAGCGACTAAGATGCTTTAAAGGTGTCAAGACTCTACCCGTTGATTATGCGAGTAATACAAAAGCTTGGATGAGTAAGGAATTGTTCAAAGATTGGCAAATGAAGAACAACCGAAAAAAAATTGTGCTTTTTATTGACAACTGTACTGTCCATACGAAACTTACCAATACTTGTAAATGTCAAAGTTATATTTTTGCCTGTCAATACCTAGGGCCGTCTTAGACCATGCCAGGGCCCTTGGGCACAGAGGAATTTGGGGCCCTTTTGGACAGTAAAGTGAATGATACAAAGATTTGTTCGTTATGATGTTTTAATTAAATCAAATATACTTTGTAGATGTTCGCCGAATTAATTGCGAATATTTTAGGGGGTGATAGTACTCTCGATACGAACAACTTTATCATGGAGCCAATACTGGAATCGCGAAAAAGAAACAGTTGCTTCATACATTTATACTGAAATTAATGACCTAAAATTATTCGTATTGATAAGTGATATAATATCACCCCCTAAAATGTTCGCATTTGATTCGGTTGCACCTTACATAATATTATTATATTAATTAGATCATTTCAATTCACATCTGCAGCATACTTATCATATATACGCTGTTGGTTTGAATTAGTTACGATTAAGATAATGATTTCTTTCGAGATTTCTTTTGAGCAAAATCTTCTATTATATCCTCAAAGTCAATTTTTTGAAGGATATCACTTTCTATGCACATTACTGACAAATTAGTTAGTCGTTCTTGTAGCATTGTTGTTCGCAATTGGTGACCATTAAACAAAGGAATATTCTTGTAGCAACTTCAACATTTGGATAAGTGGCTTCTAATTTATCAGATTTTATTAGGTTATGTAAGGTTGAGATACTTATATCCACTGATTCCTTTGCTGTGTTTTTCAAATACTCTCTTAAATGAAAACATTCTGTTTTGAGTTCATATGCATTGACGTCTTCGTGATAGAATTCAGCAAATTCTTTGCATTTTTTGGTCAACTCATCAGAATCGATTGTTGTTAACTGACAAAGAAAACTAAAACGATTATAAATTTCTTGGTATGCTGCCGAACGATTTTTTAAATGTGCATATAATGTGTCAATTATAGGAATAAACGTAACTACACGAAACTTTTCCTTGCCATTCAACTGTATAGTCTCTGATGATCCTTCAAAAAAAGTAATGGGTGTGCTGCGAATTCTTTTTCTCTCAGACTTATCTTTATAATCAGCGTTTGAATTTTTTTCTTTAGCGGCCGATTCGTACTTATCCAAATTATTACGTGCGTTATTAACATAATCAATCAGAGATGCGTAAAGTTTTGTCGCAACGTCCATGGTCATAGTGCCATTCTGTAAACTTAAGCTTGTTTTATTCATAATTCCTAAAGATCGTTCCATATCTCCGTTAGTAGAATAGTCTCAAATTTTTCCATTTTCTTTGCTAGGCTTTGGGCTTCATTTCTTGTTTCTCCTGGTTGATTGACGTTACTAGCATCTGATAACAATGCTTCAGAAATATTTAAATAACAATTCTGCAAAGCATTAATAGCATTAGCACCCAAATGCTCTGCCATAATTTTCCATCGTTTGGTCGAGGCTGAGACAATTTTTGGACGAACTGGAAGTATGCTACTGCTTCAGAAACACACTCAACAGCCTGAACACCCACTAAATTTTGTGAATGTGCCGCACATGAGACAAAAATTGCAAATTCACATTTTTTTTTTATTATTGACTGAACACCAGCATACTTTCCAGCCATATTTGATGCATTGTCATAGCTCTGTCCGCGACAACCTTTTATAGGAATATTAAGGCTATCAAACAAGTTTAAAATTGTATCTGCTATGTATCGTGCTTTATGTTCATCCATAGGCAAAAATTGCAAAAACCTCTCAATAGGCTCTCCGTCTTTTACGTATCTAACGATAAAAGTCAATTGGTCAACGTGGGACAGATCTGGCGTAGAATCCACGCTAATTGAGAAGTATTTTGCTGATTTTAGTTCATTAACAATTGTTTTTAAAACTTGCTGTCCCATTAAATTAATAAATTCATTACAAATATTTGCAGATAAATATGATGTACTTCCTTTTCCACGATTGCCGCAATTTTTTATATGATCAGCAAGAAAAGGATCAAATTCACTAATCAATTCTAAGCATCATCCCAAATAATTCCCATTATTTTGAGACCCCAATATCTCACTATCACCACGAAAAGCAAGATCTCTTGAAGCCAAAAATTTCACTACTGCAACAATTCTTCTAAGTACATTCTTCCAATAATTGACTTCTGCGTTATATTGGGACAACAACTCACTGTCAACTCGTCCAGTAGATTTACTTCTTGCGATATAATTCATCATATATTGCCTGTGCTGTAAACTGTTTTCATGATTCATTAATAAGTTACTAATATGCTTCCAGTCTTTATATCCATTTGGAGAACTTAAATTATGTCCAGTATTAAACAGACGACAGGAATAACAGTACACAGATTTCTTCGACGGTGAATAAAGTAGCCATTTTCTTTCTACAGACTCCTCATTCGTCAATTTACGGGTGAAAATATTTTTAGTCAAGTCTCTACTTTTTGTTTTACCACGTAAATCTGGAAAACTTGTAGAAGACTTGGAAAAGTCACAATTCTTATTTTGGAAAAACTCTGACCCTTTCTGAATCCAAATATCGCGTACTTCTTTCGTTAAAATTTCATCATGGTACGAACCAGGATCAGGATCAGGACTTGGAGATACATTCTCCAAGCTTGCAGCTATTAACTCACAGTAGCTTGAAGTTGAGGGTTCAGCGTCTGATGTGTGTTTGTCATTATCTTCACACATAAGCTCTTTTTCCTGTTGAGTATTTTGATCTTGAGGTGATGGGGATGAAGAATCAGTCCCATCAGTCCGTTTGTCTGTTTCTTCAACCATAAAAAATGAAGTGAGCTTGGGAAGCTTTTCGGTTACTTCTTTTTGAGCTACAATTTTTTTTCTTTTTTGTGAACCACTTAAATATGTTCTTTTCGACATAATGAAATGATTTGTTAACGAAACGATCACTTCAAAGTTATAACTTCTATTGTCTTACTTAATTTTTATTAAACAATACTAAATCACGCCACTTTGCGCGACTTTCACACATAATTTGGGGATTCCCCAGCCAGAGACAATATCGACATCTGTTTTGATGAGTAAACGTACAGGTAAGATCGACTTTGGAATCGAAGTGGTTTGTATAGGTGATCGCCAGATGGAGTTGTAGTGTAATTAATTTGGGTGCATCCTGCATTCGGAAAAAAAGGGTAATGTAAGCGAGTAATATCGGTCTTCTGGGGCCCTCGTGTGGACGGGGGCCCTAGGCACGGGCCCCGTGTGCCCTTATGGTAAAGACGGTACTGTCAATACCACCAGTAAGCTTCAACCTTTAGATCAAGGTATCATTCGCACATTCAAACGGATTTATCACAGAGAAGTCGTAAAGCATACGCTTACCTGCTTCGAAGAAAACATTAACCCCGAAATTAATGTACTTTTGGCCAAGTTCGCAAGAAGAGCATGGTATACAGTATGTGACGTAACTGTCAAAAACTGCTTCAAGCATGCTGGGTTCAGTATAGGTCCAGCTGAACAAGACTTTCTGACCGAGCAAAATAAGGCTGAACATGAAAAGGAGCTTGAAGTTGGACCTAGCAATGATGAATGGGCCAAGCTCGTGTACCACGATACTACTGGTAATGTGTCAACGCAAACCTTTGAAGACTTCGTACAGACTGACGACGACGTGACTACCGCCGGAGAATACACCGACGACGATATTGTTCAAAACTATGTGAGCACGTGTATAGACGGAAATGACAGTGAAGATGAAGACCGCCCATCACACATTTTGGATACAGAGGTGGAAGATATTAAAAAAAAACGAGACGCTTTAAAGGCATTGGAGACGCTTCACAAGTTTTAAGAATATGTGGCGGTTGATAAAACCATACTTGATAAAATTTACGAACTTGAAAAACATACACAAAATATAAATACAGAATCGCAAACGAAATTGACAGATTTTTTCAAGTGAATGCGGTTATAAGATTATATAGGTTTAATGTTTATGTTTAGCTATTATTTCAGTAAATATATAATATGTACCCATACATACATGTACATATTTTGTTTCTAATTATTATATATACATTATACATATTTACCGTATTTTTATAGACCTCTATAAGTGAGACAGATTCCTTCTGTAACTCTGTAAGCTAGAAACTCGGGTTAGTGAGAAACCTATATAAGAGAGAAACAGATCGCGGTCCCTTGAGCTCTCACTTATCCAGGTTCGACTGTATATCTTTATTTCCAAATTAAGGTAAGATTATAATACATACTATGTATGCTTAATTTTCGCGCATGTTACGACATGTAAAATATAATATATATGCGTTTATAATTTTTTGTTTATCTTAACTCGTAAGCAGCTAAATGCTTGTTTAGAGGGGAAATAATAACCAAAACTAGAACTAGCCTAAGATAATAGGATTTAAGATAAAATTATAATGATTAAAAACTAAATGTATAAACTTACAGACTAAAATTTAACTAAGCAGAGTGCATTTTATTTACATTTCATGTTTACTTTCTGTCTTGTTTACTTGTAGCAGCATTTCATCATTTCGGACCGATTATAAAATCTTTTGTCTTTTTTTCTTCACAGCGTATGTAGCCAATTTCATGTAACCATTTTTCTAGAGGTGTAGTCCAATCAATTTTCAAGTATTTCCTCTTGGGTGAAAGAGAAGATCTCAGTATATATTCGTGAGCGTTATTACAATTTCATTGTATAATTTACAGCTAATGTAATAATGATAAGTTCTGCTAATGTATGTTTTCATATATACATTTGGTTATCTCTTAAATCTCTCATTTTTTTTATGGAGAAAGAAAAAACTGAAAAAAAATGAGTCAGGAAAGGTTCAGTTTTAAATGTCATAATTATAATTGAAGTCAATAGTTTAAGACAAAGTGCAGATTCCGTCAGGTCCTGTAGCCTTGTTTGTATTCAGGTTCTCTAATGTGGTTCTGACCTCACACTCTGTAACCTCATATAAATACATGGATTTATCGTATCTTTTTACATCAGGGTCTCTTTTTTCTGGTTTACATTTATTTAATAATATTATTAGCAATGAAGTGTCATAGTAAGAGAAGTTCCAGTATTTTCTTTGTATCGTTTCCTTTAGTTTTAAATGGTTTATTTTCTTGATTATTTTAATTACCGTTTCTTTCTTATACTTAGTATTTACAGGAATATTTATGCCAATAATATGATGATCGGCGATACCTTGCTTAATGATCACTGAGTGTACCTATATCAGAGTAGTTGTGGTCAGTTTTTATAAATAAATGATCAATGCAGCTTCCTCCTAAAATTTTCAGGTCTTGTGATTTTATTGATAGCTGATTTAAATCCATGTCAGGACTATGTTGTCACTTTCGCTCCGAATTAGGTGACCTATATAAAGGCCGCTCATGCCTAACTGTAGTTAGTTCTGAATTTAGCTATTTCGTTTTACTAGAAGCTAGCGGAATTCGCGTTTCTCGTGATAAATAGTGTTAATTCCTAGTGAATTTAAGTGGCATTCATTATTACTCAGTCAGAAACACCTTCCTGTTAGATTTTATGAACCGACGGTTAGTACTTAGTGCTACAACGTTAGTGTTATTACTGCTACTTCAGCTGACTCATCTAGTATATTTATATTTAAGTCTTCTATAATAACGTGATTTTTTTATGTGATTGTGACCATCAAGAAATTTTGTTAAATTTTTCACAAATTATTTCACTTGAATCTGATGAAGACTATATAGGGCAATCACAATGAGTAGGTATTTACTTTTTTGAGTAATATTTAAATTAATTACTTTTAAAATTATCATTTCAATTATTACATAATCACATGCAAGTTTGTTATTTGCATAGACTAAGACACCATCACTTCTATTGATGTTGCTTTGATTGTGTATTTTGGTGAACCCATTTATTTTATAATTTGAGGTTATCTCATAGGTTTTAGTTAGTACTAACGGTACTAACACATCAATATTAAAAATATTCTCTCTCATGGTAGCAATGAGATTTACAAAATTCATGTTTACGCTTCTAATGTTTAGGTGAAATATCTTTATTCCACTATGATTTACATTTAGCAACAGTTGTTTATGTCATCAGCATATGAACATTCAATTTTTCCCACGTGGATGAAGTCATATCGATTATGATTGAGAATCGTAAGTAGTTTTACATAATGCTTGGGCTTTAATTTCAATTTGTTTTTTAACACATTTACATTTTTTATCATATGCGTAGTGATTTATTTTATAGTCAGTTTTCATTTCCTTGTTACTGTTTATATAATTTATACACTGGAGATTTGTCTTCATTTTACATTTTTCTGATTCATGATTATTCGCACAGTATGTACAAGTAGTTTCATTTCTACCGTTTTTTGCATTGTCTGTAGTCACATCTGTAGCTAATGATATTACAATCAGTAAAGAATCGACAAGATTCCCACTTCAAAAATATATTATTTTGACTCATAATGTGTGCATATGAGTTTGGGCACAATTCTACAAATGATGTATTGCACGGTATACAAAACATTCAGTCACATGTTTTTTTAGTGTGACAAGTATATTTGTGTCTATTACTTCTCGACCGTCCGTCTTCCATACCATATCGGTGTTTTTTATTGCGATAAAAGCCAACCTCGAGTTGACCTATCGGAAGGTTGACTCTTCTCTGTTACTTTTGTCAAGAAAAGAAAACTTTTAATAAATTGTTAATTAAACCCTTATAGACAACGGAGAAACCAAAAAAACAAACGGTCACATCGCTGCATCCAACATAAAATACTGTCACATATTTAAATTCCTTCGCACACTACTATTAACTATTTTCTGTCTAATTAACATTTTTACTATTAATTAGTTATCAAATCATCACTGTATGAACACGGTCACGTCTTCTCTTTTTCTTCTTCTCTTTGCATTGTCTCGAACTCTCTGACTCGTACTAACTCCACTCGATCTCGCGACAACTATTTATAGAGACTTTGCGTTTTCTAGAATTTTCTAGCATGTCGTCTGCTTTTTAAATCGTTTAGTTCGATGTGTCAAATAAATATCCGTTTCTAATCGGCGCGTTTTTGCGTAAACTTTATAATGCAAGCTTCTAGGGGACAAAAAATAGTTTTATCATTTTATGACCATCATTTATATCTTTTCTAAAAATTTGAAGTTTAATTTAAACAAGCATAATTGTTATTTTGGATTATCAACTCATGAATCTAATAGTTGTCAAAAATATTAAAAACTAACGTCACATCATCTATTTCCAAAAATGATTACCTTTTTTTAATAATTAAGTTTCTTCGTTTTGTTTTCATGTCCCAAAACTTAATGTTAAGTATTAATTTTAAATAGTAATGTGAAATTAATTTAATTTCATTCACTACAAATTAAGGGTCATTCAAGTATTACGTAGGCAAAATTTTGTTAATTTTTAACCCCCCCCCCTTTCCTTTATCAGCAAAAGTTAGCATGCTCAAGTAAACATTGGTATATTTTTCTAAAATCTGATCAGTTTTCTTCAGTATTATCCATGAGTCTATAGATAAGAAATTAATTAACTTCTGTACATTTTGGAAGTTTGTGTTTGAAGATAGGGAAGGAAAAAACCAAATAGTATGAAAGTAAGTATATCTAGAATATGTGCTGAATGATAATAATAGGGAAGAGTTTGCCAATCAAGTGGCTAACGCGAGATCAATTATGGGAAGGGTATAGGAGTTAGGTCAGAAATTATGTAAGGATGGTTGGGGTAGCAATGTAATATAGTGTTTTGTATAAAAAATGAGATAGATACTTTATATAAAAGATTATTAAGTGGATATTGCAATTATAAAGAAGTATGTCAGATGATGTAATAAGAAATATGGAGAAAGACGGTATTAAAAATAGAGCCGAAAAGTAGATATGATAGAGAGAAGAAGAAGATTTTGAAGATATTAATAATCAATCAGGAGCAGGTGAGGGAGTGGTTGAGGGAAGGAGTCCGTATAGGATAACTAATGAGGATAAGATGCAGGGAAAAAGGGGAAAGGATCCAAGAGAAATAGGGAAATCAATATATGTGGTGAGCTGAAGGAGATTTTGTGGAGAGACTGGCAAGAGGATTGGGTGTCTTTGTATTTAGAATGAGGGAGGGAAATAAACGTGCTAACAAAATTTATGACATGGAATAAATGCACGGGATGTAAATATTAGAGAAAGAAAGAGGACAGTTGGTATAGAATATGTGACAGGGCGGTTGAATGCCTGAAACATGTGTTAGGAGGATGTCAGAATAATTGAACTTGTAAAGAACGCTATGAAGTGGTCTATGAGAGCGAAAATGGGCTGAGTCGACTGAAAACAAGTTAAAGGAATAGAAGATCGTTTTTATCTTTATGGCAGTGAAAGGTGTGACAAAGGAAAGTAGGAGGGGGAGAATAGATGGGTTAATATAGATGAGTTAATAAATTTCAGAGATGTATAAAATAATTTGAGGTTTCAATAAAGCTTAACGATAACAACTGAAACTTGAAACAATTGTGAGAAGTAGTAACCTATAACAAATAGAGATGTAAAGTTCAAATGTTAAATTTAACTTTAAGAGGTGCGAGCCGATTTTTGGCAAGAAAACCTACCTTGATAACGATTTACACCGAAATGGAAGACGTAGATGTTAGTTTAATAAAAACTCTTTTCGAGCTCATATTTTGGTTTTGATTTTGGACGCACTCTAGTGTAACCGGAAGAAATGAAAATTTTTATATGAGTTCATAATTGTATAATGTATATATCAGTTTATGTGTTAAAAAAGATGTGTAATATTTAATGATGGTGATTACAATAATCGGTCATCAAGATTTACAACATCACGTCATTCCAGAATTATTTAAGTTAATTAAATGACTGTGACAACACACATAATTCAAAGTGGTATTGGAAACTGACATGAAGGTGTAATTTAATTAATATGATTCACTGTAGGTTGCAAATTTAAAATAAATACTTGCGTTTTGAATCAGTGACAGTTAATTTAATAATTTCATGCTTACTTTGAATACAGCTTTTAACTGGACAGCTTCAAGTATTATTATTTAATATGGAATGACTATGGACAACACATATTATACTAATAACAGCGTAGAGGGATGGAATCGTTGTCTGAACAGCATTATCAAAAAATTAACACTTTGTGGGGTACAACTATTTAATGAAGTAAAAATAAAACATACAGGTATTGGAAAGTTTTATGAGAAAAAGCCTAACAAGGTTTGATGACACGACCATTTTGAAAGGAATACAGAATACTAAAATACTAAAACAAACACCGCGGTATTTATAGGTACTACAATTTAGTAAAAATAAGAGGGGAATCTATGAATAATAATTCATATAATAACGTAGATTTGAGTATTTCTTAACTTAACTAAATTTTTAAAAAACTCATATACTAGTAGCATTATTCCAGCTAATTCAAACAAACCAAAAACAAACGAAACCGTATTTCATTCCTTTTTAAATAGACTCTTGAATTTTCCATTATCTGATTCTAATTTCATAAAGGAACTTAAATAATAAACATATTACAGTAAATGACTTCAAATCTTCCATCATAGATAGACTGTTAACTTCGAAACAATAAAAATTTTTTTGTGTGCTTTTATACAACCCTCTTAATAATACATCTTCAACTCAAAGCTGTTTACTTTTCTGTAAAATTCATTAACACCGTTAGACATATATTTAAACATGTATTAAGTAAATTTAATGTAACATTTATTGAAAACAATCAATGCAGTTTGAAATATTGGTTATTTAAATTTAAACCTAAAAAAGACAAATTAGAAAAAACGGACGGACAGGCAGACACACGAGTGTTCCTATAAGGGTTCCGTTTTTCATTCGGACGTACGGACCTCTAACCCAAAAACCAACTTAACATTGTAGTTAAAAAAAACATGTTCTCCCATACATTCAAATTGCAAATGTCAATTTGTATGCACAATATTGCTTTGTTGAAAGATTTACCACGTTATGTTCAGACCATAGACTTCTTATGAATTTTCCTATAATTTATAAGTAAAGAACTGTTTTCTGTATTGTTTTCAAAATTTTAGGTCCAGTAGTTTCGACGATAAGGGGGGATAGTCAATTTTCATCTATTTTCTTAAATAACTTTAAAGCTATTTATTTTACAATTATAGAAAATAGATATTTTAAAATTTTCGAATAATCTTGGTATAACATTGATTTGGCTATAGTGGACAACATTTTACACCATTTCAATAGTGGTGAAAGTGTATCAATGGTAAAACAGTATGAGACAGAACAAATTTAGACAAGTGAATAAAGTGCGCGGTAATTTCTCTACTTCGGGGCTATCTAACCTAACCATAGAAAACCGCGTGAGATAGAGTGAACAATAACATAAACTTGTGGAATCCTTAAATATGCTTTTTACTTTCGAGCATAGCTAAGTAGGATTGCCATATCAGAAGAATCATAAAAAGTAAATAAATAAATATTGCTGATCTAATCACCATCCAGACCCCACTTTAACTATATCGTTAAAAATAAGCAAACAGAGGCAATTCCATCCCCCCTCAAGTTGATGAGGAAACGTTGTTGTTTTCGGGAATCAAATCCGGGTACCTGGCCCTGAGTGGTCAGAGTATTGGTGCGGACAGAAAGTGTAGTACCACACAAACGGGATGAAAGCCAGTAAAGCCAACAGGTCAGTACTGACGAAATGATAGAAGACAATTCTGGTTTGACTATTCATGTCATTGCACGGCAAACAAGGATTCCGTATGATACGGCGTGGAAGATTTTAAGGGAGAATTCCCTGCAGACGTGCCATTATAGAAATGTTATATACCTATGACCGTGTTCGACACACCACACCTACCAGGATGTTTCGAATTGTACTGGAACTATCATGGTATGAAATAACTGACAGTACATCCCTTTGTTGTCCGTGTTTACGTACGAAACTGCACTACAGAAGGTAGCAACGCCGCAATTACATAATTACGCTAGATAATTCTGCTCATCATTGCCGAAGCAGTGGAAGCATTCGGTACAGTCGTTTACTTATGTTTATACAATTCACTTGATAGTGTGAGATGGCTCATTCTATTTGTTTTTCATGTATCTTCTTCTCCCTTAATTTTTCTGGAGTAGTGATAGTTATAGATAGTCCGATCGATACTAACTGAAGTTCACATTTGTTTGTTTAATGTGCTGGATCATTGAAAATATCAGTTTCTGTAATTCTTGCGGTATTCAATTATGCTTATTTAACGTTAATGTATGCAGGACACTAGCTGCCTATCTGCCGTAATAAATAGATATATAAAAATAAGGCATTTATTAAAAAAAAAAAGGGAAGACAAAAATTAGTTACATCCTTTTACATACAACGTATCTACATACATACATGTGTTATGCGTGCATCATACTGATATTGAATTCCTTTTCTACTCGTTCTTCTAACATTTTCGCTATAGCTAAGGAACTCGTAGCACCAGGGGACGGAGCATTTCTACAATGAAGTATTCTCGCACCTATTTCACTACCACCTTTATCAAAAACAAAATCATCCACTAAATTTCCATTTCTGTCTAGAGCTTGTGCTCTTACTCCAGCAGGACCAGGTTGAACATCTGCTGTGGTTAAAGAGGGAATAAACTTCTGTAAATCTCGTACTTGAAAGCTTGTTATTAGCGACTTCTTCATTTCTAATATACCAAAAGATATATATTTGAATGCCAACTTTTGGAAACCAGGATATAATAGAACTTCGAAAAGCTCCTTCAAATTAATGTCAGTCACTCTGAAAGAAAATAATCATTGAAATACACAAAAAAGTACCTACAATATAAATAAATAATGAGATCGTAATAAAAAAGTAAACAGATTATAGAGGCTACTACAGAAACTTCGTAACTTAAAAATTAAATTGTGTATGATAGACGAGATAATTATGTATTATAGGCGAGATTACCAGATTACCGTTCGCAAAGTCTGCAGACCTTTCTACTTTTTGGGTATGTATTATTTTGTCGTTATTAAGAGATTTCGATATGTAATAGTAACATATGTATTTCTCGTAAAATTTACAATTTCATATTTTCTTTTAAGCTAAATTATCTGTTCAAATGATACTTTGCTCGAAAGAGAATGTTGAAATTCGTGACAAAGTAGAATCGTTTACAAGAAATTGCTGCAAAGTATAAATTTCGTAACGTTTTTTTTTTTCGTCCGGAAAATTCCTTTACACGGCATTGAAAATATGAGTTTTTTTCTTTTTTTTTTAAATGTGTACTGATATCTTCTTTTTTAAATTCTCCACAACTAGCTGTTACTGTGTTTTGGTAGGAAAATTTGCTATTGTGCTAGCTGGCGTGTTTTCTCTCTTCCTTTGGCATGATATGAGCTGTGTTTGCGCAGTCAAGGTCCTTCGCAAGCTGTGGAAATTTTCCTGACGTATACTCTCCAAATAATATATTTTTCATACTTTCCTGTTTTTATTATTTTGTTCTAAATCGCTATAATGAATCCCTCAGTTTCTGAGAATATATTTCCTTTTTTTAACTACATATCAGAAGCTTCTTTATCTATGAATTCCCGCTGTTCAATTTTGAATGTTTCTTTCATATTTTTTTTTCTGGATTAAATCGTTAAGGTGTACCAGAGGTTAAATGGCGCAGATTGAATTATGTAAAGGACTATCAACACTTTTTGCCCTAAAATATGATCGCAGGTTAGTAACTTGTTTGTAATATACATTTTTAATATCAATTATTCCTCTTCCTCCTAACTGTCTTTTAATTGTAAACCTTTCAACAGCAAAGTATATGTGATGTATGTTGTATTTGTTACACGTGATTCTCGTAAGCCTATTAAGTGACTCTTAATTGGTGTCAGACTAACAAATTATTCCACAGGAATCAGTTAGTACCGGTACAGAATATGATAATAGTTTTCACTTTGTTCCTAGCTGATAGGAGTGTTTTAACTGTTTTGGATAGTTGTGTATTTGTTAGCTAAATCTGATTTAATTTCAGTATGCTCTATATTTCGGCTTTGATTTTAGCTCAAATTTTTATAAGTTTCATGTTCATCAAGACAAGATTATATGCATTTGTTGTTCTAAATTGTATGGTGGTTGCATTTTCCGTAATTTCAATAAACAGTGTAACTGCTGCTGGAGGCACTAAGTAGCTTGATGACATCCACAATATATTACTTATAATTGTTTAACTAATCCTACCAATTACACAGTTTACACATTAGAACCATATAGAGATTCAATGAATAACCGCGTGATATAGTTATTTATGGACTGGTGACGCATTCAGCTTCTGTTTTAAGATTAAGTGTTGTGCTCCACTTTTGCTTTATGTGTTGGAGGAAATTACTTATTTTATCACCACCTATTTTAAGTAGATGAAGTAAACAAGAGTATGGAACACCATCAATGTCTTTTTTGGTAGTCAATATAGATATAATATAAATTTCTATTTTGCCGTCTACATTGTGTGTGTACTTCTGAGTGTATAAGAAACTGTTCTTTAGAACATCTACCTCCTTTGTGCCACCCCTTTTATTGCTCTGCCGTTGTTTTATTTTGATATATGTCCGTATATTTTTTTTGATTATTGACGTAAGAAATTTATATATTATTGGTAAGCATGTGATTAGGCGGTATTTAGCAGCGTTTCATTGTCTTTTGGTTTAAGATAAGTAATGCCTTCTGTTAAAAAAATTGGAGTTATGTCTGGATTCCTACTGTAAGAGTTAAATATGCCAGTAAGATATGCATGTGTGTAACAGTAATGTTTTCATCCAAAAGTTTTGTAATTTATTAGATTCAGACGTTTTCCAGTTGTGACCATCATTTAGCGTAATGTCTATTTCAGGCACTGGCATTACACTACAAATAGACTGTCCCATTTGTGCAGCAAAAGGGACTCCTTCTTGTTTATAAGTTTTTACAAACTGAAGCTCACATTTGAAGGCGCTTTAAGTGATAGTGGCTTGTTTAACTTCCGTGATTAATCACTGCCGGGCTGGTTTGCCTGTACTGTCAAATACGTTTCTTTAGAAAACGGTGAACTTTCCGACCAGCAAACATTTACTTAATTTTCTTGTTTTTGTCTTATAGCCTCCTGCAAATTTGTACTTATTTCAGAAACACTCTCTATAAACGATTAAATCCAAACGTAACCGTAAAGAAACATTGCATAAAAGTATAAATAAATTTTTGTTTGAGTAAAGGTTGTTTAAAGTATTTGAAGAAACGTAGACGGTGTTGTTTATTTCCAGGTTGTGTAAATGCTTTCAAAGTACTATATTCACTTCAGAAATCCTTTCTCTTGTACTTTTAAATTCTTTTTATATTATTTTCAAATTCTTTAAAGAAATTTTAAAGACTTTTGGATCATTAAGAGTCCTATTTAAAATAGAAGTTCAAGAACCAGTGAGGTCGTAATTGTAAGTAGCCGTTATGCTCCTAGCTTTTTGTATTTTGTACAATAAATATTGTCACATGTATGCAGGCAACACAACACACATAGAGACAAAGAAGACTAGGCTTCTAGACGGCATATACCAGAAAGTTCTAGAAAACGTGAAATCTTTATAAATAGTTGTCGCCAAATGTGGTAGTAGTACGAGTCGATTCAAAGCGAAGAAGTGACAAAGTGTTCACGTAGTGGTGAATTGATAATTAATTAATAATAGAAGTGTTAATTAGACAGCAAATAGTTAAATAAAAGTACTAGTATTGTGTGACGGAGCTTAAATACGTGATATTTGGTGTCAGGTGTGGGGCTAATGAAAACTGAATGGGATTGGAAACGAAGGAGGAATATTTTGAATTGGCTACAAGAAATCCTAACAAGTAATACATCGCTGCAAAGCTCTCGAAGAGAGAAGAAAGAATCTGGCTTCATTGGAGAATCCTTCGAAGTTTCTAGAAGTGTTTCTACCGATCGTGACTTACCCCAACATGTATTGATGGAAAACTCTCGAATAAAGAAGAATAAATTTCATACCAGTTACAACCAGAAGGTAAAATGGTGGAATATATAAAAGCACTAATGGCAATGATGGCAAAAATGACTCAAAAAATGGAAAAGGAACAAAAAGAAATGACACAAAAATGGAAAAAGGACAAGAAGAAATGACACAAAAAATGGAAAAAGGACAAGAAGAAATGACACAAAAAATGGAAAAAGGACAAGAAGAAATGAAAAAGAAAAAGGAAGCAGTACAAAATCATATGAAAATAGGACAAGAATAATTGCAAGCTCAAGAAGAAACGAAAAAAGGACAGGAAGAAATGAAAGAAGATTTGAAAGCAGCACAGGAACAAATGAAGCAGAAACGGAAGCAATACAGGAAGCAGTAAATACGAGAATGGGAGACAAGAAATATAATGTTAGAAATGAAGTGGATAAGAAGATAGAAGAGAGGAAAATCAAGATTGAAAAGAAGATAGAAAAAGAGGAAATCATAATGGAAAAGCAGATAGAAGAAATGAGAGAAGCAGTGAGAGAAGAAATTGAAAGGCTAAGACTACCCTCTATTGCACGACCTGACGATTCCGGTGTAAAACCATCAAAAATTACACCTCCAACTTTTGATTGAAAGATCTCGTGACCTGTTTAACTGAAGCAATTTGGAGCAGCGGCAAACGAAACTCTTCTACAGTTTGAGTTTCATGTGGGGCGTTTCGTAAGAATAGTCTGCCACTCAGGAAATCGTAGACCAATTGGCAGTTGAAACATTCATCAACGAAGTTTAGGACAATGAACTACAGCAAGTCCTCAAATTAGCACGCCACAAGACTCCACTATCACATGCTCTGGAGTTTGAAGCGGTGAAACAAGCCAACAAAGGTCATGTACGAGCGCGACAAAAAGAAATCGACGATCAGCTCATAACAAAAGAAGGTGTTATGTCGCTCATTATGATATGCGTAATGTCAAGAAAACACTGATAGAAAGCCAGGAAAATGGAACCAAAAGTGTTGGGAATGTGGAAGAACTGGTCGTTTTGCACGAGACTTCAATAACTACAGTGGTCGTCTGAAGTGTTTAAAAAATAGGGCACATAAGTGGATAATGGGGCACAAATCGGTTCACCCATACCAAGCCCCCGAAGAAGTCATCTTTTTAACACTGGACGGCGCTAACTCATTATTTATAGAAAGCTCTATAAACCAGCATAATGTTAGAATGGTTATTGGTACAGGGGCATCTAATACCATCGTTCGCCCTGATGTGGTATCGGAATGGGGGATCCGACCTTTGGTCAGGAGACTAAAGCTACCGGGGAGACTTCACCGATCCATGGTGAGTGCAATATCAAAATTAGAATTAGAAATTCGATCTTATACAGTTGGATATTGATCGCAGACATAGTAGATGATGTCATCATTGGATTGGATCTTCTTCAAGAACATGAAATCTGAACACTTCTTCAATGCACATCAGTAGAGAAGAGATAGTAATGTCAAATCCTAAGACGATGCTCACTGTATACAAAGTGATCGTCGAGGAAGATTAAGTACTACCAAGTAACTCCTAGAGCATTGTAAAAGTCTGAATAGATGACGACATCGGCGGATTAGAGAGGGTAGTCGAACCGAGCAACCACAACATGGCTCAGAAAGCATTATTGGACAGACGTACGCTTGTAAGAATTGGAACATCGATACCTGTTAGAATAGCCAATTTGAAATATTTCAAGCAGAAGATCTGCAGAGGTGCAGAGTTGGGTGTATTTCAACAAGTCAAACAATTGGAAGAACTTTTTGACCATTTTCTATACATCTTTGCTCTGTCAGATCAAGACCTTGGTAGGACCAACTTAACATATCACCGCATCAACACTGGAACAGCAAGGCCCATCAAACAACCACCTAGAAAAGTCCTTTGGGCAAAAGGAGTCAATAATCTTATACAAGATATGCATAAGCAATGGGTAATAGAACCATCTTAAAATTCATGGGCTTCCGCTATAGTGTTGGTACGCAAGAAAGATGCTTCCACGAGATTTTATGTGGTCCAAGTTAAGAGACGTATTGCTGAAGGATAGCTACTCATTAGCCCGAGTCTACGACACACTAGACAGTCTAGCTGGAATCGTATGGTTTTCAACTCCGGATTTGAAAAGCGGATACTGGCAAGTGGATATGCATCTGCAAGATAAGAAGACTGCCTTGACAACGGGAAATGGTCCATGGTCGTTAAATGTAATGCCTTTTGGATTGTGCAATACACCAGCCACATTCAAAAGACTCATGGACACTGTATTACAAGGGTTTAACTGGAATATCTGTTTGGTTTACCTAGATGACACCATAATACTAGAAATAACTTTCGATGACCACCTCCTAAACGTGACTAAAGTATTCAAGAAATTAACAGCCGCAAGATTGAAGTTAAGACTCAAGAAATGCATCCTGTTTGGAAGAGAAGTGAAATAACTAGGCCATGTTATAACACCAGGAGGAATAAGGTCCGACCCCGATAAAACGGATGCAGTAAGAAGTTGACCCATACCGAAGGATCGTCACGAACATAGAAGTTTTCTGGGACTGCTCCTACTACCGAAGATTCATACGAGGATTTGCCGATATAGCTCGACCACTACACAGATTTAAAAAAGATGGAGTTTTATTCCATTGGACACCCGAATGTCAAAAAGCATTTGAACATCTGCAGATTACCCTCTCTGGAACGCCAGTACTGTCGTAAAACATAGCAAACCCTTAATCGTTGATGCCGACGCTGGTAATGTAGGTGACGTGTTATCCCAAGTACAAGATGGAAAGTAAAGGTCATCGAGTACTTTAGTAAAACACTCTCGAAACCAGAACGAAATTATTTTATCACCCCTCGAGAGTTACTGGCTGTGGATAAGACCCTTGAACATTTCCACAAATAGCTGTATGGACGGAAGTTCCTTTTAAGAACGGATCACGCTTCTCTAAAGTGGATACTACAATTCAAGAACCCAGAAGGACAGATTGCACGATGGTTACAACGAATTCGAGAATATGAGTTTAATATCGAGCACCGTCCAGGCAAACATTACGACAACGCAGATGCACTATCGCAGAGACCTTGCGTGGAAAACGGCAAACATTGCTCACCTACGGAAAAGAAGATATAGCTGGCATCAACCTATTGTAATCTAACCACCGTTTAACATGAGAGATTCTTTGAAGAAAAGGAATTATTCGAAGAACAGAGGTAGGACGAAAAAAGTGACTAAATAATGAGATGGAAAATGGCTGCAACCTTAAGACTATCATGGGGAGATGTAATGGACCTTGTTGGAGCATACGTAATTCTAAAATGTAGCATTGTACTACAGATGGCCTTTACCGCGCCATTTGTGGTATTTTCTAAAACGCACTGTAAAGACAGCAGGTAAAAGTTGGTCTGTGTTCTGTCGGAACTGTCTGCGACGCGCTGATGAGATCCAAAAAGATCGAAATCGCATTCCGCGTCTGGCAGTTTCGACAGAATAAAGACCACTCCGAATTATTTTATTTAGATAAAGGGACATTTACTAATCTAAAAAGCTCGAAAATTACCGAATAATGGTCGAAACAATTGTCAGATTGATAATAAATTTTTGTGAAAGTGAGTCTTTTTCTGTGATATTATGTCCTTTCACACCAGCTGCACCATCGAATCTTTAAAATAGATACTAATTGCCAGAAATTTTGTTTCAGATTAATGCAGTCGGGAGTATCGCACTTACAGCTAACACATAATAATAAAGTTCGAAAGTCATTTCTCACGTAGCTACGTAGGTACGTATCCCACTGTTGGTCACGAAAAAATTTAAATGGAAGGGAAAAACCAACAATCAAGATACTTAATATAAAAAACCGATAGCTAACGATAAGACAAAACACATTTAACGTAAACACAATGTCTTTTCTCCTGTGTCCACAACAGCATTAGTTATACCGAAATAGTTGTCGTGTTTATAAAATAAAAGGTGTACTGGAAATGTAAAACTTACTACTTTGTTTTACTTCAAAATTTAAATTATTATTGTTTTTTAATTATCCAATCATGGGAGAAAAAATTATAAGCTTTTAAAATTATTGTCGAGTTAATCGGTCGTTATAATAATGATATTCGAAATTAATTACATACTTACTTATAACCTTCTCTTTTAAATGCAAGTACAGCATTTGGTCCTAACCACATGTCACCATTCATTCTTGGAGTAAAATGTACACCTAAAAATGGAAACTTAGGATCAGGCACTGGGTAAATATTGCCCTTCACAAGATTAGCTTTTGACTTAGTCAATAGTAAATATTCGCCTCTAAAGGGGCATATCATTGGATCTGGAGAACATCCAGACATTTTTGCTACATGATCTGAGTAAAGACCAGCACATGTCAGGGCGTATTTGGTAGCAACTTGGCGATTATCTGCAGATGTAATTAATACTGGATAGTTAGGATCGTTATTTTCTTTAAATCCATTAACCTGTAAATAACAATTTGAAAAAAAGTGTAGTTGTAAAAGTATATACATAGACATGGAATTTGAAGAGGAAATTTTTACCTTTTTATTAGAAATATTATTTACTACTGCAAATTAAAATACATTGTGCCCAGAAATTATTACAAAGACAAATAGAAAACGTATGGCCTAGTTATTACTCCACAAAAATGTGTAGAAATCAAATGTATTTTCTGGGACAAAAGAAAGAACCTGTTGCACTTAACTATAAATTATCCAATTTCAAGAACAATACAACAACAGTATCCTTACATTTGTTGTTCATTATTGAGCAAGTAATTCTTCAAACTGCATTGACCAGCTGCAGAACAATGTTAATCCCAACAATAAAACGAATGTTAAGCGTACTGTGATTGCATTTCTAATTTTTTTGTAGTATTCTAATAGATACAAATGATAAGTTAAAATAAATCTTTACAAATACGTGTTTTTGTCAGGATTAATATAGACACGCAGTATGTACACAAAGGATGTATAGACACTTTATTACCTTGATTCAGTTTAAATTTCACAACCCTTTTCAGAAGTAAGCAAAGAACTTAAAAAAAGTTTCTTCAGTCAAAGACATATTTATGACTACTTCTTCGAAGTAAGGCCGCGTATAGCCTTTTGGAAAATTCTTACAACTCGCTCCAAGTCCACTGAGGGTATATAAACCCCTTGAAAAGAGAAAATTGGAGAATACCATACACTAACACGTTTTGTACTACTGTTATCGTTACGGTCTCGTATAAATCATTTCTAATTTGTAAAAGCAATAATATTAATTAGATTAAGTTAGGAATACGAAGTGAATTGATATGTATCGTTTATTTAAATAAAGTAATATTAAGGACTTATCTTCGGGGAAGTTTGATAGGATCCACCTCGTATATAGATTATAGACGATACTTATCGTAGTAATATTAAGCCTTATATCTTATCCATCATCATATGCAACTATTTTCTGGCTAAAACATAGTATATGCTGTATTAACTTTTGTCTGGTCTAAAATACATATTTTATTCTTTATCTTCTTAATGCACGGATAGCCTCCCAAACTTTTTATTGTCTTTCGCTCTTAAGTTATGAGTTCATCCCTTTTTAGGTAAGGATGCTGACAACAAAAGGTATTGTAGCGAGCACGAGTGTATTTGTAAATGTGTGAGTCGTACCTGCGTTTTGGAAAAGCGGTTGGGCTGTTCAGGGAGAAGATAAACTATCCGGATGTTTCCAGAAGGTCCCAGTAAGTAAACAAAAGAGTATTTAAAGGAAGAGACGATAGCCGAGAGGAGAAGAAATAAATTGGCCGTTGCAGAAGTGAATCCAGAAATAAAGTGACAGTGATAGAAGTGAAATACATACCGCAGTAAATAGTTATAAATCAACAGTAGTGTGAATAAATAGAATAATTCATAACCCATAACCACTAATTCTTCAATAATTAGTGTAAATAAATAGTTTTTGTCGTTATCAGCATTAGAAGTTAATTTTGTTAAACCCACGAACATTACAGTACTAACATGTTGATAATTCATCTAACCCTTTTTAAACTCTACATCATTGTTTATTTTTTTTTATTATTAGATATAATTTATCGTTCCCTCTGAGATAGGAAATAATGTGTTCCTTTTTCTTCCTATATTAATTAACCCTTTAGTCTAGACATAAATTTTAGCAAAGATACTCATAAAATTAAGTAATAAATGTATTCTTTGGTAAAGCATTACAATTAAGATTAACAAAAAGATCATAAAACAGCGAGATAACAGATATGTACAGAAGAAGCTGTTTTGTGACAATGATTTATATTCAATACTTACTGAGACTATTCCAGTCCTTACATTTAACTAGAGACATTCTATTAAACTTAGTTAAGGTGTAAACTAATAGGCCAGATTCGTAAATGTTTTAAACTACTTTTAATATAAAATTAAACTTAATAAGTTTACTTAATTCAAACAAAGGTAAACTAATGAAGTCGACATACTCAACAGGATTCATCATCATCATAAGGTCGTCAGTCCTAAGACTGGTGGGCACGCACTTCCACTCTTCCCTATTCTGAGCTAATCTTCACACATTTTTCTAAAACTGGAACATCCACACCTTTAACTATTTGCTAATTTCTAACCTTTTCTTTTCCGCCGCGCCCACCGTCCATGTTTCGCACCCGAACACCTTTAACAACCTTTTTCGAATTTCTAAATTAACCGTTCGCGAGCATAAAAATGGCTTTATTGAAGGCTACTCGACGCTGCGCTATCCTCTGCTTTATATCTCTACTACTCCTTCCGTCCTGAGTTATCTGACTTTCTAGATACCTAAAACTGGCCATTTCTTCTAATTTTTCGTCTCCTATCTTTATATTCGCTCTTTCCCTACATTTTTTCCCATGCATACCAGTATTTTTGTTTTACTTTTATTTATTTTCATACAGTACTGTTTTGTCAGTACCGCATCCATTTTATTTAAAACTATCTCTAACTCCTCCTTGCTAGATGCTAATACTGCTATATCATCTGCAAATCTAAGCGTACTAATATTTGGCCCCTGTATATCTATTCCTACAGTTATACTGTCTTTAATGATGTTGACCGCGTCTTCTATGTGTAGATTAAAAAGTAGCGGTGACAATGTGCATCCTTGTCTTACATCCTTCCTAATATTTACTTCTCTACGTTGCAGCCCCAGCTCTATAAATGCCTGTTGCTTTTTATACAAACTAAGTATCACTCTTCTATCTTTGTAATTCATCCCTACTTTTTAAATATGGGTCATTGTCAAATTTTGCGCAGGTAAACGAGTCCCTCAACATTATTTATTTTTTTGTTATTAATAATGTCAAAATCCTTAACGAATTATATATCAAATACAAAATACATCGCTATAGCGAACATCCATTATTGGAATAAAGACTCAAGTTTCGATATTTTTCAATTTTTTTCAATTAACAAAATGGTCATTAGTGGTAACAGAAAGGTTTTCCTTACAAATTGTACCTGTCCCATGTAGCATTCCGTTACAATAAGCATCATATAAATGCATTTTCTACTATAGTAACCCTCTTAATATAAATTATAATCGTAAACAGAGTATTATAAATATTCAATAAAATGTTTTAAAATCAGTCAGTATTAAAATTTAGTTTTTAAATAATTTTCTAAACATTGTCCCACATACTATCTGGAACCGGCTGGTTCACTATGTTACTAACTAATTCACGACTCAAAATGAAGATGGCGCTGTTTTGGACACTGTTTTATTTTGGGCGAAATGTCTGCATTCGTCGTGGGAGTTCGTTAGGTTGGGGGGAGGGGTATGTCGCTCGACAGTCGACCGCAAGGTGTTGAACGTGCTGCGTGTTTAAATTGCCCGTCCACCTTGTTACCTACCTATTCACATAAGTAAATGAATATTTTTTCATTAGTTTACGTTCAGTTTATTGTCTGAGGGGTAAATGTGTTAAATGTGAACGAAATATTTTACTTTACGCTTTATTTTTTGACTTGTGTATAATGGAATGTAAAATTTACCACTCTGTTACTACGCAACTCTGTTACTAATTTATGATATTATACAGTATTATGTTCCAGTTAGCTGTTAATATATAGATATTTGGAGGACTTAAGTAGAATTTAAGGTATTTTAATATTCAATAAGTAACAGAGTTGTTTAAGAGTTTAGATTAATGATTGTTAAACTTAACAAAAGACTGTTATGATTCTAATTATATGTAAAAGATATAAGACTGTTTAATATGAATACCAAAATATTTGCTACTGACTTGTTTAATTTCATAATAAAAGGTAAAACTAATTGGTAACAAAGTTGTATTTTTTTTACACCCTGATCCATTAAATGTGGAATAAATCTTAAATTATTGGTTGAACATCGCGACCAGCTATAATAGATGATAATGCAGTTGTTTTAACGGACACGGACATAGAAAAAAGTAAAATCTAAACATATATTTTTTTCAAAAAAAATATGATATTAAGTTAAATTTACCTGCGCAAAATTTGACAATGACCCATATATTTAACATCTTATCCCATTTAACATTGTCAAAAGCTTTTTCTAAATCCTATGTACGCACTCTTACCTTTTTCTATCGGTTTCTCTATTGTTACCCGTAAAGTTAGAGTGGCCTCCTGCGTTCCTCTATTTCTTCTAAACCCAAATTGATCTTCCTCTTATAGTTCTTCTGCCTTTTTTTCCCTCCTCCTCTGTGCAATTCTAGTTAAGATTTTTGACGCATGGGAAGTTATGCTAATTGTTCTAAATGTTTCGCACCTATCCGCGCCTCTCTTTTTAGGTAATGAAATATGTAGTTTTAACATGACAATATAGGGCTTGGTTAGGGTGAGCCAACTTACTCCCCATATAGCTGACTGATTTTAGTCTTTCGACTGCCGTTTATTTCCGCCGGAAAGTCGTGTCTTGCTAGGTGACCTGTTATTCACAATTCCAGCAGTTGGGATATCCATATTTCTAACATTTTGGATTTCGTTCCCGTCGGGTGTTTTTGAAACAAATAGCAAGCTCAGGAGGGTATCAACTAGACGCAATAAGAATTTGCATGGTGAGTACAGCAGCGTGATTAAAAGACAAATATTTTTTGAAAAGATATTAAGCTAAAATCCAAAGTAGGTCCGGGGCGTGAACCGGCAACCTAGGTCTGTACTAATGCATCAAATTGAGAAAAGGACTCATGAGCTACAACGTTTGAGAACGCCAAAAATAGCGCTTTTCTATCGGCTAAAATGAATATCTACACATAATGACCTATTACGGTATAAATGAATTAATGACAACATTTGTTCATTCTTTGTAGTATGCAGCACTATTTAAATTATACATCAGCATGTGAATAAATTTGAGTCCCGCTTTTGACGATGCATCAGAATTATTTCTGAATCGAGCAAAAAGGTTCGACTATACACCATTTCGTGAAACAACATTTTTCCGTAAACAACACTCT